CGGCTTTGGAGGAAGAGATCATGATCAGGGATAAGGTAGCTGCACCCCTACCCCAATAAAATTGGCTGATCGGCTGGGTCCTATCCCAGCGGCCGCTCCTCCAAGAGCAGGGCGATTCACCCCTTTGGTCCTGTCTATTGCGACCATCTATCGGAAGTGGGGGACTCGTGTTGGGATATTGGGCCGCAGGCCCAATACTCGAATCCAAGGCCCAAGATATCCAGTCTGTTAGACAGGCCAATAATCCAGAAGATGAACAGACTCATGGAAAAATATGTACCGAACGAGGTTCGGGTCAATTAACGTACTTGGGCTAGATCATTAATAAGCCAGATCAATGATGACTCCAGATCAATATACCGAAGAGGTTCGGTCTAATCAAATGGACTTGGGCCAGCAAGGTCCATTACCCGTTCGGGCAGCGGGTAGCCAACAAGTGGCAGGGAGCATTTATTGCTAAGTATGACGGCAGCTAGTGGGAGTATGTGTTTCCAAGTGGCTGGATAAAGCAACCAATCAACATGAAGTACCTCATACCCCCCATTAGGATAAATAGAAGGATTAGTTTCATTGTAAAGGGTTAGCATTTTGATACTCAAGCTCTAGAATAGATTTATCTCTCAGATTTCTTGTATTAATCACTATTCCGATGTACCGTTTGGGAAGTTTACTCTGTAATCACCAGATTAATTAATACAAGTGGGCTTTTGAGTATTTGATCATTCATCTTTTATATTTCCTCTTTACATGTGATTCTTGACCCATTTTCCTAATATATCCAAAGTTCGTGTTGGGCTTTCGGATCTGCGGGATTAAATCTCAACATATATAATCTTAAGTGTTATTATTATTGAATAATATTTATTTATTACATAATTAAGTTAAGTGAGTGTATAATATTTTATTAAATGTGTTATCTCTATCATTCATGCATGTTAATGTGTATGTGTGTGTTTTATACATACACAAGCACATCATTATTAATCGTATTAATGCAAAATTATTGGTAAAACTATAATTTCTATATCTCCGATTAGTTCCCGTCTAACCACCTAAGCACTAGGCACTAGGCTGGCGGGACTAGCGCCTTAACACCTTTTAGAACATCGGTACCACTATCTTTGTGCATAATTGGTTGTCATTACTCATTAGCTTATCATTTAGTAGTATTCGTGTCAACATTCCATATTCAAACTAGATACAACATAAAAAAAATAAGTATAAAGTGACTCTCATTTACTTAATCATGACGTACCTTTTGCATTTAAAAGGCAGAAAAGTATTTATTTATCAAAAAAACGAAAATGATACGATATTTTTCAAATGTAGTGTGTTCACATATTTTTTTTTTTGCTGAGTGTGTTCACATAGTTAGAACCTTAAATTCCAAATTAACTGCTCCCCATTTTGTTAAATTTGAAATACATTCATATGCATGAAGTCAGAAAGCGTATACCGTGCAACGGGCGCAGGTGAGATCATGCACCCATTGAATATTATTTTCTTTTTTTGTAAAAATGGTAATAACTTTTTTATTTTTGATTCGATTTTTATAAAATTTATATCAACATTTTTTATTTTTCATGATCTTTCAAATGAGACCAATATTGCCTATGTAATTTTAACATATTAACATTTGCGTGTAAAATATGTAACTTTACGTGTTAAAATATGTAACTCACGTTCAGTCAGGTCAAATGCAACTCGTGTGTATAAATATGTATCTCTACGTGTAACAATATGTAACTTTACGTAAAAAAATATTTAACCCGCGTTCAGACAGATCAAATGCAACTCGTGTGTATAAATATGTAACTCGCGTGTATAAATATGTAACTTTACGTGTAAAAATATGTAACTTTACGTGTAAATATATGTAAGTCGCGTTCAGGCATGTCAAATGCAACTCGTGTATATATATGTAACTCGTTTATAAAAAGATGTAACTTGCTTATAAAAAGATGTAACTCGCTTATAAAAAGATGTAACTTGCTTATAAAAAGATGTAACTCGCTCATAAAAAGATGTAACTCAATGTATTATCAAATGTAACTGAGGCCACTGATCCACTCCCAAACAGATTCGATCTTCTATTTCACAAACCTATTATCTCCCAAACATATTCGATTTTCCTTATAATTCAATACTCATTAATATAATAGTTCGATAATTTATTAAAATTACATAAGCAATATTGGTCTCATTTGAAAGATCATGAAAAATAAAAAACGTTGATATAAATTTTATAAAAATCGGATCAAAAATAAAAAAGTTATTATCATTTTTTAACAACAAAAGCAAAAAAAAAAAAAAACATGCTGCGTCGTTTTGCAACCGGGCGCACCACACCATCCTCGAGGTTGCACGCTATAATTTGCCATAAAGTCATAGACGGGGTAGTATGTAATTACCACGTAATTTCCACCAAACAAATGAATTTTTTTCAGTTTTTGATAGTGCAATCACTTGGTAAAAAAAATTATTTCTGTCCTTTATTACTTTCACAATTTCACGAACAATACTTCGAGTAAAAAACATCACTCGGTCCGTAGTTATATCGTGGAATCGGTGCATGATGAGTACCATGCACCCTGTTATTTTTTATATTTCCTTTTCTTAAAATTGTTAATAATTTTTTTATTTTTGATCTGATTTTTATAAAATTTATATCAAAATTTTTTATTTTTCACGATCTTTCAAATGAGACCAATATTTCCTATGTAATTTTAACATATTAACATTTGTGTGTAAAAATATGTAATTTAATTTTTGTCTCAATATTTTATGTGATGTAAATCCTATGTATTGAAATGTAACTCGTGTTGTTATAAAATGTAATCTCAGTTAACTACAAATGTAACTCGCTGCCTGGAATGTAACTCATATTATACCCTCTAGTGGTTCTCTCACCTTTTATACGAAATGTAAATCGCGTGTTACAAGATGTAACTTTTATCAAATCGATATGTAACTCGAGTGTATCCAAAATGTAACTTGAGAAATTTCGAAATTGTAAGGTGCGTTAATTAAAAAGTTAATTCAGGGAAATCGAAAATGTAAATCATGTTAATCAAAATGTGACTTGATGTTGATACAAATGTAAATTGCATATATATGTAACTTTGTTGGAACAATGTGTTAAAAATTGCATTAAATGATCATTTTGAGGCAATTATTTGAGTGGGATCCACTTCCGATTTGGGTCGGGTCAAAGTGGTTTCGGATTGTCCTTGTTAAGGGCTACAATTCGATATATGTTACGCTCAAAGCGAATAACGGGTGAATGAGAAATTGATTCTCGAAGTTCACTCGTTGAAATGGAAAAACTGGGAAAATGATGAGTTTCTAGTGTGTTTTATACCACACCGGAAAAAGCTCTTTTAAGGAGTTAAGATTCCTAAAGGTAAAGACTCTCTCTTACGCGCAGAGGGGGTGCCGATCAAATCCCGAAAGGGAAAAGAAAAACCGCGACTCGTGTGCGCGGGCGACCTGCGGATACGAATGCCGTCCGAAAAATCTATCATTCAAAGAAACGGTTTAATTTTTGTTTTTTCCCGTAACGTTTTATTTTTTCCCAGGACCAGAGGTGCTCCGACAGAATTGATCGAACTCTGGTGGCTTCGTACCATAGGTGCTCCACCTCTGGTGGAGGTATTCTGCTAGCTTCGTACCAGAAGTGCTCCAACTCTGGTGGAGGTATTCTGGTAGCATCAGAGTTGCTCCAACTCTGATGGGGGTATTCTGGTCGCGCACCAGAGCTGCTCCAAACCGTTACAACCATTAAGTGCTCAACGTTCTTGTCTTTTAATGCAGCGTTAAATGGACAGTTTATGGACGATTCAATGCCCAACGGATTGGTCATTGATGTCCAACGTTCAGGTCCATTAACACCCCATTTAACACACAACAAATCCTCCTATAAATGGCTGGCAGGTGGTTTGCAACAAGACAACACACCATACATTCCTCACGTATTTTTGAGCTCTAAACACTTCCAGCTACTCCGAAAATTCCTGAGTGTTCTGCCTTTGTTCCCGTTCGCCGGAACTCTCATTTGTGTGCTCAAACGTTAGTTCGTTAGCCACCGTATCCTAGGAAACGGTCGTTGCAACGCTCCTAGCACCGTGGGAGGCGATGAATACGTTTTAAGGACATCGTGCGTAGCACGAGCTCTGGCTAAACTTTGTTCCATCTTATTTCTGTTTTTCTTTAGCTATTTAAATTAATTAATTATTTTTATTAATTAATTTTCTTCGTTTTTCCGAGACACGCCAAACAAACTTTACGTGTAAATATATGTAATTCGCGTTCAGGCAGGTCAAATGCAACTCGTGTGTATATATATGTAACTCGCGTGTAGAAATATGTAACTTATGTGTAAAAATATGTAACTTCACATATAAAAATATGTAACTCACATGTAACTCAATAATTTTTTATATACACAATTTTAAGATAAATTATGATTTACACAATTATTTTTTTGTATTAAATTTAGTTCGGATTTCCTTATAATCCAACAATAATTTGTATAATAGTTCCATAATTTGTTAAAATTACATAAGCAATATTGGTCTCATTTGAAAGATCGTGAAAAATAAAAAATGTTGATATAAATTTTATAAAAATCGGATCAAAAATAAAAAAGTTATTACCATTTTTTAACAACAAAAACAAAAAAAAAATAATGAAATGAGGCCAACCGTTCTCATTGTTACATCTTTTTGCAACCCGGCGCACCATCCTTATGGTGCGCCGGTTGTAGGATATAATTTGCTCACTTGGTAAACAAAACTACTTTCTCTGTTCTTTGCTACTTTCACAATTTCACGAACAATACTTCCAGTAAAAAAAATCATTTGGTAAAAAAAACTACTTTCTCTGTCCTTTATTACTTTCACAATTTCACAAACAATACTTCCGGTAAAAAAATCACTTGGTAAAAAAAACTACTCTCTGTTATTTATTACTTTCACAATTTCACAAACAATACTTCCACTAAAAAATCACGTACAAAACTCGATCACCTTTTCTTTCTACGGAGTATCTCCCGTTTCCAAACACAGCCTAAAAGGTTGACGAAGGTCCCCCGGAGAACAATTCGAACGACGCCGTTGGAAAATTTCCGGCTTCGCCTTTCTCTTTTGTGATTTTGTCTCCTTACTTCTTTTTGGTTTTCAGACGTTACAAAAGCTAAATTAGCTGTCTTTCTGATTTTTCAATAGCTTAATTATCAAATTCCAGCAATCTTCTCTATCAGCAGGAATCCTTTTTTTCTTTTTAGTTGATAGCAACAGGCTGGAAATCCGATGGGGTGTGCGCAGTCGAAGATCGAGAACGAAGAGACGGTGAGCCGATGCAAGGACCGGAAGCAGTTCATGAAGGATGCGGTGACTGCACGGAATGCTTTCGCGGCGGCCCACTCCAGCTACGCTGTTTCCTTGAAGAACGCCGGCGCCGCCCTCAGTGATTACGCACACGCCGAAGCTCAATTCTCTTCAGATTCCGCCGCCGTCGTCTCTGCCGTGTCTACATCTCTTCCCGGAGCTCCGGGTACCATCCCTACTTCCCAATTTGAAGTCCCGCTCCCTCCCCCGCCTCTTCCTTTCCTCTCGTCGTCTCACTTGCAGCGCGCTGTCACCATGCCGGAGATCTCCGGACCGGCGTCCAACAACCTGAGGAGCGAAGACACGATCCTCGAGGAGACGGAGGAAGACATTGAGAGTGAAAGTGTTCACAGTTTGAAGCGCCGCAGCCGTAAAATCGGTGGTGGCGATGGCGCAATTGGGGGCAGACGGTCAGTTTCTACAGTGGATGGTGATGAATTGCCACCACCCTCTCCACCCCACACTCCGCTACAGAATAATCATCCCGCACCGCCTCATCCTCTCCACGATTGGGATTTTTTCACGATGGGTAACGTCACTGGACACTCTCTGGCGGACTTGGATGAGGACAGACTTGAAAGAGCGGAGCATGAACATAAGATGTTTGAGGAAGACGCTCAAAGAAGGGAAAATGGTTTTAGCTATGGCCAGGGAGAGAGGAGGAGTGGGAAAGAAGAGGCAACTGAGGTTGTGGAGAGAGCAGAGGTGCAGCCGCCACAGCTGCCACCCCAAACTCCTCAGACGGCAACCTCCACAAAAGTTGTGAAAAAAGTTAAAGCTCCATCTCAACCTGAGGGTAATAGGAAAGTCACTCTGCAACAAATATTTTCCAACCTCGATGATTATTTCCTGCGGGCCTCAGAAAGCGCCCATGAAGTCTCTAAGATGCTAGAGGCAACTCGCTTGCACTATCACTCAAACTTTGCTGATCCTAAAGGTAATGTTTCAATTTCTATGACTAGGGTATCAACTTTGATGCTAGTATTCAACTTTGATGCAATTTTGTCAAATAATGTCTGACATTGACTCATATGAATAAATAAACCCTAGTATGGGCAAGTCTCAACTCAGAGAACTTTTTTTAGGGCTCAGTTACGCCCAACATTAGTTCGTTGTGGTTTGTTTCAAAGGAAACGTCTTAAAGATGCAAGCTTTCTTACCTGGCAATAAGGATTTAGACCCGTTTTTTTATATACATTATAGATTTTCTATATTGATTCTCTAAAGCTGAGATTTCTATAAAGATTGTCTGAAGATGGGAGTGATAACTAATGATGGCATGAATTTTATAACATGTCCTTTTTCTTCTGTCTCATAACGGTCATTTTTCATAAACAGTTAATAATTGGTAAAAAGATTTGTTTCCTTTCTTTTGGTGGGAAATATATCCCAAGGTGTCGTTTCTGTAAAATTTATATAGTTCATGGGAAATGTTTTGTGCTTCAAGAGACGGGATGAGTTCTTGCAGTATAATGCTAATATATGATCCTCTGCAATTGACTTGATAGGGCATATTGATCATGCTACCAAGGTCATGCGCGTCATCACATGGAATAAGTCCTTCAAAGGTATGATAAACCAAGATGATGCCAAGGATGACTTTGATTCTGAAGAAAATGAAACTCATGCAACTGTGCTGGACAAGATGCTAGCATGGGAGAAAAAGCTCTATGATGAAGTGAAGGTATGATCAATCAGCTCTAAAGTTCCTATGCACTCTTCATAAAAAATCCCCCACTTTTGGTTTGGTAACTATTTGTTCATTCTCATTTTTGGTCACCTTCTTCCTACTTTTTCCCTTTTGGTACACGATTATAAATTTCTTGTCCCTTTTGGTGCACGACTATGGATTAATTGTCAATTTTGGTCTTTCCTATCACTTATTCAGCCGACATGCAAAAAAAAAGGTTCATTTTTGCCGAAGTGATAAGAAACGACCAAAAGTGGTGAGAAATCCAAATTTGTGCACCAGAAGTCGAAAAATTGAAAGTCAAGGACTAAAATGAGGTATGGCCTATGGCCAAATACTCCTCCGGTATGAAAAGTGGGTTTTTTTCTGGTCAGAGCATTTCTTTTAGCATTCAGAATTTTAAAATTTGTACATGCGGGTGAT